CTGCCGGATAGCTTCATGAATACAAACAGGTACATCGGCGGGGAGTGATGCTTTCTAAGCACCGGGTGGACGACGTGGAAGGGGGAAGAGGGAGCGCTCACCGCTTGAGCTGTTGGGTTTGCTCCTGAGCGGGGACGCAGCCGCTCTCTTCCAAAGAGGCGCCTTCTGGAGGGAAACGATCTGGCCGACAGACCAAAACTGTGTCTGCACTGGAGTCATCAGTCTTGTTTCTGGTGAGCAATGAGATTGCTGGTGGGGGGTGGGTAATATTATGAGAGCTGGGTCCGGAAGCTCCGAGCGTTATGGAGATGCCGCTTTGCTCCTTCGGGAGCACTACTTTGCGCAAGGGAGACTTAGCTAATGTAAACCCGGCCAGAGACAGATAATACAGAAGGAATGTAAAAGTTCTTTAATGGTGATACCCTAGCCCTTACCCTGAACCATACAGTAAGTCTAAGCCTAACCCCTTACCCAAACCCTAACGCTAACCCAAACCTTAAACCTTACACTAACCCAAACCCTAAACCTAACCCAAACCCTAAACCTAACCCTAACCCTTATGCTAACCCAAACCCTAAACCTTACCATAACCCTTTCCCTAACCCTTTACCTGAACCTAAGCCAAACCCTAAACCTTATCCTAACCCAAACCCTTACCCTAACCCTTTTCCTAACCTTAAACTTTTCCCTAACCCTAACCCAAACTCTAACCCTAAACTTTACCCTAACTCTTTCCCTAACCCAAACCCTAAACCTTACCCTAACCCTAACCCTTATGCTAACCCAAACCCTAAACCTTACCCTAACCCTTTCCCTAACCCTTTAACTGAACCTAACCCAAACCCTAAACCTTCTCCTAACCCTAACCCAAACCCTTACCCTAACCCTAACTCTAAACTTTTCCCTAAACCAAACCCTAAACCTTACCCTTTCCCTAACCCTAACCCTTTAACTGAACCTAACCCAAACCTTATCCTAACCCTAACCCAAACCCTAAACCTTACCCTTTCCCTAACCCAAACTCTAACCCTAAACTTTACCCTAATCCTTTCCCTAACCCAAAATCTAACCCTAAACCTTACCCTAATCCTTTCCCTAACCCTTTAACTGAACCTAACCCAAACCTTATCCTAACCCAAACCCTTACCCTGACCCAAACGCTAAACCTTACCCTTTCCCTAACCCAAACTCTAACCCTAAACTTTACCCTAACCCTTTCCCTAACCCAAAATCTAACCCTCAACCTTTACCAAACCCTAACCCTAACCCTTTCCCTAACCCCAGGCCTGTAGTGGGGTTTTTTTTAGGGAAACCCCCCCCCCCGAAATTTTTCAGGTTAAAAATAACCTGGTTTACTCATGAATTTTAACTTGTTAACCAAATCCCCATGCTAGGTCTATGAGATACAAAAAAATTAAGAGTCCCTCCAGAACTGCTAGCACTCTCTCAAGCAAATATTGACAATTTATTCACACTGTCATTACTTGCAGCAATAGCCGATGTAGTGAAGCAACCAAGTTGGGGGTGGGGGGTGCTGAATGCTCTCATTAAGGAGGCCAGACTTGGTGGAGGTGGTTGACAGGGGCGGAGCTGCAGGCTATTGAAGGCTGCTCTGCCCCTGCTGTGCTCTTTGCTTCAGCATGAGCTAAGAGGCAGGTTTCAACCCCCCCTCCCAAAAATTTTCAAACCCCCCCCCCCCCAAATTTTCAACCCCCCCCCCCCGAAATTTTAAGCCCTCCCTGAATTTTTTTTCTGGCTATGGCCCTGCCTAACCCAAACCCTAAACCTTACCCTAACCATTTCCCTAACCATAACCCTTTCCCTAACCTTAAACCTTATGCTAACCCTTACGCTAACCCGCTAACCCAAACCCTAAACCTTACCCTTTCCATAATGCTAACCCAAGCCTTACCCTAACCGTAACCCCTAACACTTACCCTAACCGTAACCCTAACCCAAACCTAAGTGTTCCCTCTTTTCTATCCTTCCTTTGCTCTCCTGGCTCTCACTCCGCCCCCTCTCTTCCCTTATTCACAGCCACCTTTGTGGCATCTCCGTAATGTTCAGAGCTTCTGGACCCAGCTATCATACTATCACGTGGGGGTGCTTTGAATGCAATTTTCTTGCTTCTTGCAGGGGTTGGACTGGATGGCCCATAAGTCTCTTCGAACTCTAGGATTCTATGATACTGTAGTACAGTTTAATGGCCCATGAGCATAATTGAAACTATTAATGTGATTTGCATTGTCTTGACAGGTTGGAGACCCACAGTCCAGCCAATGTATTCCATGCAGATACAAGTCTCTTACTGTACATATATAAATAGTTGTCCGTTCTCTTAATCAGTAACATCATGAAAAGATGTCGAAACTACATTGTTTGAAGATTTTAAAATCACTTAGAATCATAGAACCATAGAGTTGGAAGCGAGCTTGTGGGCCATCCAGCCCAACCCCATTCTGCCAAGAAGCAGGAAAATTGCATTCAAAGCACCCCCAACAGATGGCCATCCAGCCTCTGCTTAAAAGCCTCCAAAGAAGGAGCCTCCACCACACTCCAGGACAGAGAGCTCCACTGCTGAACAGCTCTCACAGTCAGGAGGTTGTTCCCAATGTTCAGGTGGAATCACCTTTCTTGTAGTTTGAAGCCATTGTTCCATGTCCTACTCTCCAGGGCAACAGAAAACAAGCTTGCTCCCTCCCCCTATGGCTTCCTCTCAAATACTTATACATGGCCCTCATCATGTCTCCTGTCAGCCTTCTCTTCTGCAGGCTAAGCATGCCTAGCTCTTTAAGCAACTCCTCATAGGGCTTGTTCTCCAGACCCTTGATCATTTTAGTCGCCCTCCTCTGGACACATTCCAGCTTGTCAATATCTCTCTTGAATTGCGGTGCCCAGAATTTATTTATTTATTTATTTACTGCACTTGTAGACCGCCGTTCTCAGCCCTAGGGCGACTCACGGCAGTGTACAACATGTAAAACAGGTACAATTTACAACATAAGCAATATCACAACAACATTAAACAACATCACTATCAATAATACAATTACACTAAATCATTCGCGACGTCTCATTGTTGAATCACAATCCAAATCTCGTTATCCATGTTCCGTTCCAATCGTCATTGCCAGTTTTTGCAGCACTTACTCAAACGCCTTCTCAAACAACCACGTCTTTAGTCTCTTGCAGAATGACATAAGGGAGGGCGCCAGTCTGATGTCCACAGGGAGGGTGTTCCATAGCCGGGGGGGCACCACCGAGAAGGCCCTGTCCCTAGTCCCCGCCAGGCGTGCCTGTGAGGCAGGCGGGATCGAGAGAAGGGCCTCCCCGGACGATCTCAAAGTCCTCGTGGGCTCATAGGCCGAGATGCGGTCAGACAGGTATTTTGGGCCGGAACCGTTTAGGGCTTTGTAGGCCAACACCAGCACCTTGAATTGGGCCCAGTAGCAGATCGGCAGCCAGTGGAGCTGGTACAACAAGGGCGTTGTATGCTCCCTGCGTCCCGCTCCTGTTAGTAACATGGCTGCCGCGCGCTGGACCTAGCTGGAGCTTCCGGGCCGTCTTCAAGGGCAGCCCCACGTAGAGAGCGTTGCAGTAGTCAACGGATGCAGCAGAGCGTGTACCACCGTGGCCAAGTCAGACTTCCCGAGGTACGGGCGCAGCTGGCGCACGAGCCAAGCTGTGCAAATGCTCCCCTGGTCACCGCTGAAACCTGGGGATCCAGGCTCAACGATGAATCCAGGATCACACCCAAGCTGCGAACCTGCGCCTTCAAGGGGGGTGCGACCCCATCCAGCACAGGCTGTAACCCTATACCCTGTTCGGCCTTGCGACTGACCAGGAGTACCTCTGTCTTGTCTGGATTCAATTTCAATTTGTTCGCCCTCATCCAGACCTTCAGCGGCCAGGCACCGGTTCAGGAACTCGACAGCCTCCTTAGTAGCAGGTGGGAAGGAGTGACAGAGTTGGACATCATCTGCGTACAGATGACACCGCACCCCGAAACTCCGGATGATCTCACCCAGCGGCTTCATGTAGATATTAAACAGCATGGGGGACAGTATAGAGCCCTGTGGAACCCCACAAGTCAAAGGCTGTGGCGTTGAACAGGTGTCCCCCAATAACACCTTCTGGGTGCGACCCTCCAGAAATGACCGGAGCCACTGTAGAACAGTGCCCCCGAGGCCCATCTCCGCAAGACGCCCCAGAAGGATACCGTGGTCGACGGTATCGAAGGCCGCTGAGAGGTCCAGGAGCACCAACAGGGACACACTCCCCCTGTCTAGCTCCCGGCGCAGGTCATCCACTAAGGCGACCAAGACCGTCTCGGTACCATGCCCCGGTCTGAAACCAGACTGTGCCGGACACAATATTCCAGGTCTGGTCTAACCAAGGCAGAATACAGGGGTAGCATGACTTCCGTGGATCTAGACACTATGCTCCTATTGATGTAGGCCAAAATCCTGTTGGCTTTTTTTGCCGCTGCATCACATTGTTGCCGCCACATCACTTAACAGATGGGAACAGAACTTTTTTCTGTGTATAGAAATACAGTAATAGTTTAGAAAATTATTAAGCAATTTGGAAAGATGGCACTATTTTACACTGTAATTCTTTTCCACAGGTAAGTCCTGAATTAAGAGCTCAGAGTGAAAGTGTGTTGCTGCAAAGCCATACAGATACTTCAGCACCTGGAGCAGCACTGTTAACATTGCTGCTAACATAAGAATAGATCTAAGGATCATTTTCTATCGCATAGATGCCCAACACACGCAGCCTAGTTTGGCTGGATCAAGACAGAGACTAAAGTGCATGAATAAATGGTGCTTATGGTGTGTTTTCTCTGATCACATCACATAAAAATCTCTGACTAAAATAATTCCGTGACACCTGTAAATTAAATTGGCTGAGAGCAAAAAGATGGCTGAAATTCATGAATGGAAAGAAGTGTGGCAGCCTGGTTGTCCTTGGATTCACTTGTGAAAGAGGGCAGAATAATGGATGCAGACATCAAAATGGAAGAATCTCTTTCAATGGCAGTGGACTCTAAAGATGGTGAGTTGCGGGAACAGGGCAATTTCCGATAGGGTGAGGCTAACAGAAAGGAGGCAAGGGAGGGAGGGAGGAAGAGGGAAGGAGGAGGCATTCTCTTCTGAGAGAGATGGTGGCAAAAGAAACACTGCATGCTTGGATCGGTTGCCTTGATGTTGCTCTTTAAAGGTCACTCAGGGAACTTCCAGACAGCACTATATCATGAGTTTTGGCTCTGGAAACGGGCATTCGACGAATGAGTCAAGATCCTGTGATATGGATGGGTGATGACGAACAATGATTTTAGGATGACGACTGACCACTGTAATTATGACTGTACTTTGATATTTTAATGTTTTAGTGTAATTTGGAGTATGATGTTTTAATGATTGTTTGTAATATTGTTGTTGGAAACCGGCCCGAGTCCCTCGATGGAGGTGAGAAGGCCGGTATACAAAACTGCTAAATAATTAAAATAAATAAATAAATAGCGAGGAGCAAAAAATCCTGGGTCTTCAAGAGAGGTCCATATACAGACCTGTTGGTCCTGGGATTTCTGCCTCCATTATCCACAGTTCATGCTTTGTTCTGAGATTTAGAGGGTCCCAATATGACCATTGCAGGCAGGACTTCCACTGGAAACTGGCATTTTTTAAAAAAAAAACTTGTGTGATGTGGATATGTAGATATGCAGAGATTTGGATATATGGATAACCATAAAAGCGCTGTTCTTTGTTCTGACCAGAAAAAACTGTTCCTTCCAGATGTTTCATGAAGTATCTCCCACACTTACAAACCACTACTGCCCAAGTCAGCAGTACACAAACAGGAACACACATTTTGAAGCCAGGAACAGAACTGTGTCATTATCTACTATTCTTAAAGTCTGGTTGCCTGGCCATCTGTCCAGACAGATTTGTTTACATACTTGTGGCATCAAACAACACGGAGCTGTACACATGTTATCAGCATACACCCAATGAGGAACCAACGTGTATAACCCGGCAACATTTATTCATTTATTGTTTATTTATTTACAGCATTTTTATCCCACTCTTTTCAGCCTGAAGGCGACTCAAGGCAGCATACAGATTGACAGCAATTAGATGCCATAAACATACATGCATATAAATTAAAAACAGTTAATATCATATAATAAAAATCCATATAAAAACCAATTAAAACAATAATAATTAATTTTGACCAGTTTGACTCCTGTTGTTCCCTGGCACAAGTACACCATGAGACGTATCTGCACAGATGGCCACACAACAAGGTCCGAGAAATTATAGTAATGATGGCATTCTGTTCCTGGTTTAAAAGTGTTGTTCCTGTTTCATTGTGTACTACTTACTGTGAAAGTACTTGTTGCACCCCAGGAACTTCATTTTTCTGCCACAAACTTCATTAAACAGGTGAAGGATGAAGTTCCTCTTCCCAGGACAAAGTTTTTGCCTTCTACTCGAGTTACTTTCTTTTTAGGAAATGATCAATCAGGAACAAGCATCAAAAATCCAGGAACAAACAAAAAAATCCCATGATTTCCGATTGCAGGGACATACAGACATGCGAATATCCGGATATTCGGCTAAAACCCGCAATATTCCTGCACCTGGAAATCTTGCGGTTTTTGCCTTTTGTAGTGATTAATTCTGGGTTTAGTGATTAATTCCGGGAGACCCCGGTGGTGCAGTGGGTTAAACCCCTGTGCTGTCAAGACTGAAGACCGACAAGTTGCAGGTTCGAATCCAGGGAGAGCGCAGATGAGCTCCCTCTATCAGCTTCAGCTTCTCATGTGGGGGCACGAGAGAAGCCTCCCACAAGGATGATATAACATCAAAAACATCCGGGCATCCCCTGGGCAATGTCCTTGCAGATGGCCAATTCTCTCACACCAGAAGCGACTTGCAGCTTCTCAAGTTGCTCCTGACACGACAAAATATAAATAAATCTGGGTTTACATACAATGGTCTCTGGCCACCCTCCTGATTGCTTTGGGAGCTCCTAGGATAAAGGTATTGTCTGGACGGACCCTCAGTCCCCTTCTACACTGCCATATAATCCAGATTATCTGCTTTGAACTGAATTATATGAGTCTACACTGTGCCACTGGAGCCCCCGGTGGCACAGTGGGTTAAAGCACTGAGCTGCTGAACTTGCTGGCGAAAAGGTTGTAGGTTCGAATCCAGGGAGTGGCATGAGCTTCCGCTGTTAGCCCTAGCTTCTGCCAACCTTTGTAAACATGCAAATGTGAATAGATCAATAGGTACTGCTCCAGCAGAAAGGTGACAGCACTCCATTCAGTCATGCTGGCCACATGACCTTGGAGGTGTCTACAGACAATGCTGGCTCTTCAGCTTAGAGATGGAGATGAGCACCAACCCCCAGAGTCAGACACAACTGGACTTAATGTCAGAGGAAAACCTTTACCTACACTTCCATATAGTTCAGTTCAAATAAAAAAATCTGGATTTTATATGGCAGTGTAGAAGGGACCTCTGATGGCATAGGAAAGTGATCTCAAATAAAAAGGAACCAGGCTAAAATGTAATATCTGCATTGGTCCTAAGCTGTCATATGAACAGTTGTATAAATATTAGGGATAAAGAGCCCGCAGAAAAGCTATGGCCACTTTGCCCTTCATATGTTCTTCCCAGAACACCTGGTTGGACTTTCTTGGAACCCAAATCTTGTTGTTTGTGGTTTTTAAAGAGACAGAAACAGGGTTATTTTTTAAAAGGTTGACAACTGCAATTGTAAAAAAAAATACATCTTTTCCATAAATCCTTTCATTGATGTCTTATTTTGAGTTCTTGCAAGAAGAATAGATTTATTTTGGATAAAAATCTCACACTTTTTTACCACGTCTTTCTAGGGTCTGCCTGGACCAGCTCTTTATGTCTCAGGATTCAAAAGGCATCCAAGGCAAATTACAGAGCACTTTTGTGTGTTATGGTTGGGAGCTTGATTCTTAATCTCATTCTCATTGCATTCGCTGGTGAGTGAAGAGCTACACAGACCTTATTAAATTTCCGTTCTGCCTAACATGACCTTACTTAAGTTTGAATTGCTACAGCCTGTTCATAATAGTTCCCATGAGATATTCTAAAACTCCTTTAGACCATTCCATATAGGTTTTGGTATTATATAAAGTAAACCCCTTTATCCACTGATTTGATATCTATAGTTTCCGCATTCCAAAAAAAATTCCCCTCCTCATAGAAGTGTTTGTGGGCCTCTCTCAATCTTCCAGTGTGATTCTATGGTATGCTTACAGTCTAGATATAATCAAAATATAGGTGTGCTACTATGGACAATTTCAAGTGTCCACGATGTTTGTGCGTGTGTCTTGGAATGTATCCCTTGTGGATACAGAAGATGCACTCTACAGTAATGTGTGACTATAATTTTGAAACATTACAATAAGCTAAATGATGCTCTGGAAATTTGCCCTCTCAGGGGTGGAAGGTTAAAGCAGATAAAAAAATGTGACATAGATTAAGCAAATATTATTATTGATATGTGTAATATAAATTAACTAACTGTTGAATTCTTGAATGTCAGTTTGTAAATTGTTAATCCTAACCAATAATACATATGAATTTTAAAACTAGTGCAAAGAGATAAAAGAGAAAAAGCTCTTTTTATCTTGCTTGGTGATCGTTGTCCAAGTGGCTGGATTGAGTTCCAAAGAAAATGCTACTACTTTTCAGAGGAAGAAGGAAACTGGGCATCGAGTAGTCTCTATTGTTCCTCTCACAATTCCTCTCTGGCTGTGATTGATTCCCAAGAAGAAATGGTAAGTTCAGGAGTTCATCATCATCATCATCATCACCATCACCATCATCAGTGATCCCTCATGGGAAGGTATGATTGCCTTCCAAATATAGCGCCTTGGCATTGGGCCCACAGGTGACTGTAGAGACCTCTTCTTGATCAGTGACAACATCGGTTTTGAGATGGAAGGCGGTCTCTACAAGGGTTGGCTTTATGCACCTTCCTCTTGACATGTTTCTACCTGTCACCCTCTATTTGTACCTCTTCAAATTCCACAGCACCGTTGGTCACAACTGACCTTCAGTTAGACCACTCAAGGGCCAGGGCTTCCCAGTTCATGGTGTAACAACCATTACTGTGTTATTCTTATAGAATCAAAGACTTGGAAGTGATCAAAAGGCCATCCAATTCAGCCCCCTGCCATGTAAGTGACCATTCAGCTTATATCTCCACCTATGAACCGACTAGGACACTAAGATCGTCCGGAGAGGCCCTGCTCTCGGTCCCGCCTGCGTCACAAGCACGTCTGGCGGGGACGAGGGACAGGGCCTTCTCGGTGGTGGCCCCTCGGCTATGGAATGCCCTACCCGTAGACATCAGACAGGCCCCTTCGTTGCTGGYGTTCAGGAAGAAGGTCAAGAYGTGGCTCTATGAACAAGCGTTTGGTTAAACAGTGCAACYAAACTCAGGAAGACGGTATAATCGAASATAGGAATGGTATAAGGATTTTGAGAACGGATTCTGATTTTATTGAGGCGTTGATAGSATAATTGATTGTTGTTTGTCTGTTGTATATGATGTGTTTYAATCACTTGTTATTGTTATGATAATTTGTACTGTGTAAACCGCATTGAGTYGCCGATTTAGGCTGAAAAATGCGGTATAGAAATAAAGCAAATAAATAAATAAATAAATAAATAAATAAATATATTTAAAAACCTCCAAAGAAAGAGACTCCGCCACAATGTGAGGCAATGTGTTTCATTATCAAACACTTTGTCATTAAAACATTTCTCCAAATGTTTAGGCAGAATCTCTTTCCCTGCAATTTGAATCCCTTGCTTCAAAAATCAAACTCTTATTTTTCAATTTTATCAATAGGTTTTGTGTGGAAGGTTTTTTTTTATTATTATTATACATGAGCTCCCTTTATCCAGAATTCCTAAATCCAAAATACTGGAAAATGGTCCACATGCCATGAGCTCATGATGCCTTTGCTTTCTGATTATTCAGTTTACATAAACTTTATTTCATATACAGAATTATTAAATACATTGTGTATACATTTTAATTCCATCCAATTCCATTATGTACATATGTGCAAATACAGGTAATCCAGAATCTGAAATCCAGAATATTTTTGTCCTAAGCATTTCAGATAAGGAATACTTAACCCATATTGAAAAATGTTTTTAATTCTTTTTTTTTCATAAATGGAAAGTACAGTATGACCACTTTTTTTAAAAAAAATATTCGAGTCACATGTCTCCTGTAAACTATATGTGGCCCATCTTTGTCCTTATAAAAATGAATATGTTTTTGTTTCCATATTCAGAAAATAATCATTTTTGTTTGTGAATACTATAGGTTAGAAATTCATTTTGTACCTTGGAATTATTATTATTATTATTATTATTATTATTATTATTATTTCAAAAGCATTGCATAAATTAGTATAAAACTTATAAAAATAGAAGGTGTGTAGCCGCCTGCATCTTGGAATTATAACCCATGATATGTGCCATTAGATATATATTTCTCCTGTTTTTTTTAAAAAAAATGGAGCAAAAGCAGAAGAGCAAATAGCTGCAAGTGAAAGCAGAAGGAAAGAATTCAACCATTTGATTTCATCTTCATCCATTAGCAAAAATGCTAAAATTGCCTGGTGGATGGAAAGCAATAGTGCAAAGAGCAGGGGGAGTGGTATTTATACACATAGAATCATAGAGTTAGAAGAGACCTTGTGGGCCATCCAGTCCTACTCCCTGCCAAGGAGAAGGAAAATCGCATTCAAAGCACCCCCGACAGATGGCCATCCAGCCTCTGTTTGAAAGCCTCCAAAGAAGGAGCCTCCACCACATTCCAAGACAGAGAGTTCCACTGATGAACAGCACTTTTTACAGTCAGGAAGTTCTTCCTCGTGTTCAGGTGGAATCTCCTTTCCTGTAGTTTGAAGCCATTGTTCCACATCCTAGTCTCCAGGGCAGCAGAAAACAAGCCTGCTCCCTCCTCCCTATGACTCCCCCTCACATATTTATCCATGGCTCTCATCATATCTCCTCTCACCCTTCTCTTGTGCAGGCTAAACATGCCCAGTTCTTTAAGCCACTCCTCATAAGGTAAAAGGCTAAGAACATAGCGCCCTCTTTATGTCCCTCACTCAAATTTGTTCTTGCTTTTTTGTTTCATTTTGTCATACATAGAAAGTTGTGTACATTTTATACTAGGACAGCTGGCAACTCAGCGCTTTTTCTTTCTTTTGCCTGGTCCATCCTGAATCACTCTACATGATTTTGCGGTGGCACAAGATCACAAAAAATGAGAAATGGTAGCAGGCCTGGCAGGGATGAATTGATCCCCAAACTATTTTTTTTTTATAAAAAAACCCACCATTTAATTGCTGACATTATCTAGATAGGCAAAGTCCTATTTCTCATCCAAATTGGATGAGAAATGGGAATTGTCCATAATTGCTTGCTAGGAACAAAAATGGGAGACTTTTTAAGGGTTGTGCTTTTTATGGTCTTGTGCTTTCTGGTGAAAACTCTTGGGAAGATGTTATTTTAATAAATTGTGGCTCTTTCAGAACCTATTTTTATTTCTTTAGTTTGACATCTGGCTCTAGACATCTTTCAGCATCTCATCAAGTGATTTTATTTCTACATTTTCTAGTTTCTTGTAAAATATTTCAGTCAAGTTGGAGTTGATAATGCAATTCTTTTTCTTTTCTTTTTTTTTACTTTTCAAGAATTTTCTCCTACGTTACAAAAGTCCTCCTGACCATTGGATTGGTTTGCAAAGGGATAATCCAGAGCAGCTTTGGAGATGGGTCAATGGTACAATTTTCCATGAATGGTGAGCCTTTTCTCTGTGTACTTCCACAAAGAAAAAAAAAAAGAAGGTCAGAAACCAGAGTAAAATATTGTGGCAAGATAATATCAGGCCTTCTAAAATATTTTGGGTGTTAGGTTCTTGTGGGTTTTTTCTGGCTATAGGGCCATGTTCTAGAGGCATTTCTCCTGATGTTTCGCCTGCATCTATGGCAAGCATCCTCAGAGGTAGTGAGGTCTGTTGGAATTAGGACAATGGGTTTATATATCTGTGGAATGGTTGGGGTGGGGCAAAGAGCTCTTCCCTGCTGGAGCTAGGTGTGAATGTGTATTTTGGATGTTTCTGATCAGTTGCAGACAGCTTCACTGTTGCCTTGTGGGGATTATATTTTGTGATGGAAATTGGAGTATTTTTAGATATTATTTGTTTCAGTGTTGTATTATTGTTTAGGACTACAGTTCAGGGAAGAGGACGGTGTGCATATATGAACCACGAAGCTATTGCCAGCTCCAGCTGCTCAAGGGAAGAACACTGGATCTGCAGCAAACCAGCAGAGAGCTGTCAGTGTGTCACCGCCTGAGTCCAGCCTTTGAATGACCATGGGTCCAGCAAGAAAGATCAGAGGTCAGAAACCAGACGTGTAGTCACATGTCACGGGGTATCAGGCCTTTTAATCATTTATATCTTAATCTGTTGCATATAGCATCAGTGTTGCCCTGCAATTCAGATATGTTTTAATTCCTGCCATGCAATTTAAGATTAATTCTTTCAAATACATTTTGTTTCAATGTTGTATTATTCTTTAGGTTCACAAGAGAAGAAGCGCACAAGAGAAGAACACTGGATCTGCAGCAAACCTGCTGAGAGCTGTCAGTGTGTCACTGCCTGAGTCCAGCCTTTGAATAACCACAGGACCAGCAAAAAAAATCAGAGGTCATCAACCAGACATGTAGTGACATGTCATAGGAGTATCAGGCGTTTTGTTCATTCACATGATGTTTTATATGTGCATGCGTTTTATTTTATTGTGTTTTATATTGTGCTCACTCTTATGTTTTGTTTTTAGGCACTTTGTGCCATCTGTAAGTCACCCCGAGTCCCTTCAGAGAGATGGTTATGGGCTATAACAATAAAGTTGTTGTTATTGTTGGCATTATTATTATTATTGTCGAAGGCTTTCATAGCTGGAATCACTAGGTTCTTGTGGGTTTTTTTCGGGCTATATGGCCATGTTCTAGAGGCATTTTCTCCTGAGCAGAGAGGAAACAACCAGGCACATCTTAACACCTCTCAACAAAAGATTCCTCCAGGCTCAGCCAGGCCTTCAATGCTAATGAAGGTGGTCAGTTGAAACATTCACACCCAGCTCCAGCAGAGAAGAGCTCTTTGCCCCACCCCAGTCATTCCACAGATATATAAACCCATTTTCCTAATTCCAACAGACCTCACTACCTCTGAGGATGTTTGCCATAGATGTAGGAGAAGCGTCAGGAGAAAATGCCTCTAGAACATGGCCACATAGCCCGAAAAAACCCACAAGAACCTATTATTATTATTATTATTATTATTATTATTATTACCTCTTCATCAGTTGTAGATAGTGTCAGTATTACCTTGCCATTCACATGTGTGTTTTTGCCATGTAAATTCTGCCATGCCACATAGTTTCTGCCATGTAAATTAAGATCAATCCTTTCAAATACAATTTGTTTCAGTGTTGTATTGTTGTTTATTTTTATAAGAGAAGACGTGAGCAAAAGAAGAACACTGGATCTGCAGCAAAACAGCTGAGAACTATTGTGCCATTGCACGAGTCCAGCCTAGGAGTGAGCCATGCATAGGTCCAGCCATTGAGCTGTTCAGAATGGACTGGAGTCCCAACTTGCTCTTTATATTTTCCTTCCTTTTATATACGGGTAGTGTTGTAGGCTGGCAAGAACCAGAGAATTCTGAGGATGAGGGGTTTCAAAATGAAGTGAATGTATTCAGGGAGAATCTAAGAAGACAGGGAGGATTAGGAGGTCACTAGGGAGTGTAGATTAGATCTCCAAAAGCAGGGTGTGAAAAGTAGATAGACCAGGTCTTCGCAGTGCCTCCAAGATAAGGCCTTGAAATCCAGACATCTTAGACATGAATTCATGGGAGCCTGGACAAGCTTAAATTAGATGTTTGGTTCCAAGCATTTCAGAGGAGACAACATTGCTAAAGGGGAAACAGTCTCCTGTTCATGTTACCAACTTTTCAAGTCCATGGTTCTTGTAATGTCAAGATTCTTGATTCATGTTCCTGCTTGTGCTTATGTACCTTCAAAGAGTTTGGCCTGGAAAAGTTTCCTGTATTCATGTTTCTGGAATTACCTTGAATTATTTCTATGTTTTTGGATTTCTGGCTTCTGCACTGTTTCCTTGGCTTTCTTGAAAGGCTTTTTACTGAACTCTGGCATATTTTGTATATTGCATGTTATATACTGATTGCTCCTTTTTGATATAACTCCCTCCCCCTTATTATTTTTTTATCCAATAAACATTTTATTGTTGAACTCCTGGCCTCTGGTCTGGTGCTGGGCGAACAGGTGCCTCAGGGCTAGGGTGCAACAGGAAGCCAGTTAACAAGCATCACCTACTGAGACTCGCTTTTCAACAAAAGCAATAAAGAGACAGGAGCCCTGTCCCTTCTTTCATCCAGCAATTGTAATAAAAATATAAAGTTCTTACTGGTTAGAGACTGAAAGCAGTGAAGAATTTTAACCACAACTGTTAAAGTCTGTGTTCCTCTGGACTTTTACCAAACTGATCAGTAACCTGCTGTTATCATCCAATAAGACTCTCCCCACAGGGACCCCATGTCATATTTACAATCCCCCCAAGAAGGCCCAGAACATGTTTTGCCCTGCCCTATTTGTACCCAATCTGCACCAAGAGAACTTTGTGTTTTGAAGGGATTGGGGGTGTGGGGAAGGTATAAAAAGAAGGGCTAAAACGCAATGGAGAGGGAGATGGAGAGTGGTGGTGGTGGTGGTGGTGGTGGGAAGGGGTCTACATTGTTATATTGTAGCAAAATCATAAATCATAATAATAATTGATTTTAATGCATAATGTTTTCCTAACTATTATAGTTTAATGTATATGCTTATTGGTTTTTTGTTTGTTCATATGGCATTGAATTGTTGCCAATTTGAAAGCCACTCTTGAGTCCCCTTCAGGGTGAGAAGGACAGGATATAAATATAGTAACTAACTAAATAAAGAAGTATTGAAATGTTTTTAGAAATAAAGAATAACATACAAGGAACTTTTGACAAAGGACCCACTAGTTCTGAAAACACACGAAGAATTAAAACAGAATTTCACAAATATTTCATGGCTTCACTATTTACAAATGAGAGAATATTATAATCAGGATAAAAAATTGATTTAATCAGAAGGAGGAATTTTGGGATAAAATTCTAAAAACTGAAAAAATACCATTACAAAAATCTATGATAAACTGTTAGAATGGTCAACAGAAGGGGAAGCAATAAAAATTGTATGATTAAATGGGCAGAAAATTTAAGAAGACCAACATCGCTGGCAGATTGGAAACTTATTTGGAATAAAAAATTAAATTACACATATGCAGCAGACTTAAAGGAAAACTGGTTGAAAATGTTTCACTGGTGATACATAACACCAAAAAATGAGTCTAATGTATAAAAACACACCAAAGGACTGTTGGAAATTTAAAAACCAAGATGGCAGCTTTTCCACATGTGGTGGACTTTTAAAGAATCTAAAAATATTGGAAACTTATTCATGAAGTATGTCAACAGATTCTTAAGAAAAACATTCTTAATGAAGCCAGAATATTACTTATTATGAATAATAGATTCGAATTTAATATTACATTCTAATGAAGACATTTTATTTACAGATTTGACGACAGCTGCCAGGATTATATATACAAAACATTGGAAACAGATGGAAATACCAGACATAGATGAATGGACAAATAAAATTAGAGTGTCTAATTAGAGATTAGAGACATGGACAAATCAACTTTTTTATTAAAGAAATACTCAGGAAACCCGATCAGACAGACAAATTGGTAATGGATAGAGGAATACAGAAGAATGAAAAAACAAAAGAAGCATTTAAAGTAAACTGCCTCCCCCTCACAAACGGATATACTAGAAAAATTGACTTAATCATATGTTAAAGTCAAGAGCTTGGTTTTCCCACTTGTAATATAGAAGAATTTTGATTGAACAAGGTTTAAAACCTCAAAGGATTAGATGGAAGTCACCACGGTTTTTTTGCTGTTGATATTTTTGTGTATGTTTTTTATTCTCTTCTCTTTTTTTCCTTTCCATTTCATATCTTATTTTTCTTTTTCTACTTTCGCTATACAACATTGTTCCCCCACTTTAAATGTATAAGCAAAAGTACCCCTTTTTTCACCTTCCCTTTTTTACCCCCAAAAATACATATTTAAAAAAAGAAATAAAAATAGCATAATTTTAAATGTCACTTTCTTGCAAGCACAAAATTATTAATTATTTGTACTTGAAGGATCATCTGAGTAAGCAAAACAGATGTGTTCTCAGACATTATGAACAGAAAATTTGATACCAGAGGCAGAAATAATATGGAAAAAATAGGGTTAGGTTCCTGCACCACAGAAAAGAATAGTTCAATATGTCTCAGCAAATGTTTTATTCAAAACTAATAACATCTACATGTGAAATTAAAGAAAGAGCTCTGGTAATCCCAGTACAATTAAATAAAAATATTTTGAACTTTCCAGAGACCAGAGATTTTTTTTCCTTTCACTACCTCCACGATTTGTATAATTTCTGTTTCTCATCGAACTTTTAAAAATAAAATGGGGATAGCTGGTACAGTAAATTTCTTTCTGTTCATGCATGTTGAATGCGATTTTCCTGCTGTTTGGCAGGGAGTTGGACTGGATGGCCCATGAGGTCTCTTCCAACTCTATGATTCTATGATTCTAATATGGGATCCTGGAAGCAGCTGTTGTGTACCTTCCTTGTTGTAGGGAGGAACACAGAGCTACAGTAGCATTATCTGGAGTAGAACCCCATTATAGCTCTGGTTTTATTCCAAGGTTTATAGCATATTCCGGTACTACATGGCTGTTTCTTAAGCCCTTTCTCACTATGTGCTGATGCTGTGCAGAAACATCCACCTAGACAAAAGACAAGAAAAACTGCAACGGAGAGGTGTAAACTGTCAAAATACTATTTAAAGGAGAACATCATTCTCAGAGCCCTGTTAAACTATGTGTGGCACTTCCAGTCTCTAATGCTTTAATCATCTCTTTCATAAGAATACCTATCCATAGACCCACATTCGAGTTCCTAAATATGTAAGGTTTGTAGACAGGCTATATAGGTGATGTCTACATAATTTTCAAATGAAGACTCTTTTCTCTGTAGATATTGCTTTAACAATACAGAAAGCTAGATAATTGTGCCTTCATGAATCACAAAGTGTACAAGCTGACCTGCAATCATGCTGATCTTTGACATCTTCCAGAAAATAAAACAACCCCCTTCAGCTTAGTATCTTGAAACTGAGTTATTTCATTGAGATAGAGAACCATTGCACTCTTATTGTGTATAATACCTCTGTTTCCATATTTCTATATTTGTGAGCATAGCAAATAACAAAAGGGCATATTATTCTTTTGTGCACCAACATGCAATGTCATATAACGATGGGGTCCTTTTGGCAAATCCACCGGAATACAGTGTCACAGCTTTCAGATAGGATTTTCTTGTTTTTTATTGCTCCACAGCACTTGTCTTCCTGAGGTTTTTTTTCTTGGAACCTAGAGAAGAAAGAAAGGAAGGAGCTCTGAGTCCTCAAGGTTTGGCATCTTTTCTTAGTTCCCATCAGAAGTAATCTCTGGCTCATTTCAAGCTCTGCAGGAATTCCTATTTTGAGTTCCCAGTACTTCGATTTTCTATCACCTGGTCTATTCCAGCAAAGTCATGCAAAACCAAATGCTTCATTTGCTCTAATCTCAGGATTTTTGAAAAGCAAAAGTACTATGAAAAAATAAACTCACACAGCATGGTTGACCTGGGATCCTGTAACCCATTTCCATTTCTTCATTGGTAATGACCAGGAAAATCCAATCCAGTAGATTTCATGCGTACTCGGTATATCTTTTGTTACAAACTCCTATATCAAAAAACAGGAAGAACTGTGAGTGACCACAAACTACTATTATTTAACAATTAATATTGAATCCACTGTTTTGTTCAGAAAAGTTCACCAGCTTTAGTTGTGAGAGTTGCCGGGCATTATTGACAGATCTTTTCTGAGCAAAAGCACCACCTGCTCCTTTAATTCAAGAAATAATAACTAGTATTAGAAAGGAATGCTTGGACTTCTCACTACAGAATTGCAATACAAATTAGCCATGAATTTT